AGGAAGGAAGGAAGGAAGGAAGGAAGGAAGGAAGGAAGGAAGGAAGGAAGGAAGGAAGGAAGGAAGGAAGGAAGGAAAGAAAGAAAGAAAGAAAGAAAGAAAGAAAGAAAGAAAGAAAGAAAGAAAGAAAGAAAGAAAGAAAGAAAGAAAGAAAGAAAGAAGGAGGGAGGGAAGGAGCAGGGGGCGGGGCTTGTTGCATGTGCCCGCCCCCTGGGCTCTTTACTGCCAGAGCTCCACTCCTGTGCGCTCCTGCAGGAAATTACCCCTGGTTGTGAAATCTTAATGCGATGTGTGCCTATATTCCTGGTTTACATCTGTGCTTAAAGCATCTTTGTTACAGCTAGATTCGCGTCCAGTAGAATTTTCGAGACGAAAAAGATGTTCAGGGTGTGAGCTTTCACGAGTCAAGGCTCCCTTCGTCAGATATAAGGTTGCATCTGAGGAAAGGGAGCTCTGACTCTCAAAAGCTCATACCTGAAAGTCTTGTTGGTCTTGAAGATGCTATGGGACTCGAATCTACTGCAGACAAACATGGCTACCCTCTGAACCTAGCTTCGTTTGAGAGCCGGTTTGGTGTAGTGGTTAGGAGGAGCACAGACTCTAATCCGGGAGAACCGGGTTTGATCCCCCACTCCTCCACATGCAGCTGCTGGGTGACCTTGGGTCAGTCACAAGTTCTCTCAGAGCTGTTCTCTCAAGGGCAGTCCTCGAATGAGCTCTCTCAGCCCCACCTACTTCATGGGGTGTCTGTTGTGGGGAGGGGAAGGGAAAGGAGATTGTAAGCCGCTCTGAGACTCCTTCAGGTAGCGGAGGGCGGGGTTTAAATCCAATCTCTTCTTCTTGGGTTCTGTTTTTAGAGAGTCAACATGGAATGTTTCCTTCAGGAGTTGATAAGTAGTGATTGATAAGAATTGGGATTGCTACACGCTCAGAATATTTATTTATTTATTTATTCCTTTGATTTATATACCGCTCACCCCCCTAAGGGCTCTGAGCGGTTTACATTATGCAATTCATACAATTCCTACCTAAGGGCCACACACATACAATGAAGGGAAGTGACTAATCAAATATTGTGAAACGAATTGTTCATTGCGCAGTATTCGTTAGCGTGTGAGCGATAATATAAGAAAATTTTCTACAGAAATTACCACAGTAAACATTTTTGCAACTTATCTTTATTGACTCTTCGTTATTGTTGTCACGGATGCTGTTTTTGGAATTCCATACAACCAATTTAAACAATAAACAGCCCCACGTGGGCATCGCTATCTGTTGTTGGTGCCCACTTGCTGCCTCTGTGGTGCTGATCCAAAAGAGGGTCACAGTGCTGCATATGTATTCCCCCCACCCCACCCCCATGGGAGAAACACCAGCGACTTCAGAATTGCGTTCTGGAAATTTGCTAAGAGCAACTTTGCAAATCTCACATCTTTCCCCTTTTGTTTCCGGCAGCATGACGGAGCTAGAAAAGGAAATTGGCAACTTGCGGAGCGGGCTCAGAGCTGTGGAGACCGTAAGTGTGGCTCGTTTGCGTCGTGGTCCCCTGCTGCGAACCAAAGCAGGATTTTTCTTTTTTAAAGCCTTTAGCCTTAAGCGGCAGGAAGTGAAGCTTCCCTCTGGCTTCCGAGAGGCCGTCTGCTTGCTCGTTATTTCTTATTAGGGTTTTATAAAACTCCTAATTGCTGGAATGGCTTCCCTTTGTGGAGTTTCATATGTGCGGTGGCTTATGGCATTCTCTTCTTATTCTTGGGATCACTGGTGGTGGATAAATTATCAGGATGGTACCTTTCCCCTGCCTTCCTTTTTTAGTCCCGTCTCTGGTGGCAGTAGAACGTGCTGCTAAGTCACAGCCAATGTATGGCCACCCTGTAGGGTTTTCAAGGCAAGAGACTTCAGAGGTGGCTTGCCAGTGCCTGCCTCTGCGTCGTGACCTTTGTGTTCCTTGGTGTTCCTTGGTGGTTGTGAGACCCCTGGAGAAATCAGTTCCCAACAACAGAACAGAAAGTTTATTGAGACATTGATTGGATTCAGATGGTTAACTTTTCTGCGTTAGAACTGGGGGAAAGTGCGTGAAGCAAGCAATTATACTTCAATCAAGCAGGACCCTAATGGCCCATGGCCAATCATACCTAAGCTAGAGGCCCGCCGAAATAACGGCCCATAGTTTCCAGGGGAAAGATGATGCCAGGCTGGACTGGGGCTCAAGGTTATGTCTCTGGGCCGACTAAGATAACTACAAGCAACAGCTTGCAGCCCAGAGAGAGGGCGGGCACGATTGACAGTGGTCTCCCATCCAAAAAGGAACCAGGGCCGACCCTGCTTAGCTTCCCAGAACTGATGAGATCAGGCTAGCCTGGACTATCCCAGAAAGAGACAACCAGAGGTGGTTTGCCATCGCCTGCCTCTGCAGAGTCTTACTTGGTAGTCTTGCATCCCAGTATTGACCCGGCTTAGTTTCTGAGATCTGACAAGATGAGGTTCTACCATCCTCCCAGTATTGACCCAACTTAGTTTCTGAGATCTGACAAGATGAGGTTCTACCATGCTACTTTTCCTTCCTGTGCGGCTGTACTGAAACATTAAAATCGGGGCTTTTCTTCCCCCTAGGGGAACGTGCCGGGATGGAGTTCCGGAACCTTTTCAACAAAGTTCTTTTTAAAATGTTTAAAAGTTTGTGAGTTTTCAGTATACATATAGAAAACTTCACTTCCCTCTTGAGAGTTCCGGCACTTTTTTTTTTTTTTAAGCCCTGATTAAAACTATCTAGAAGGGAAGGAGGTGGCATTTCTTCATACCATAGATAGGACCACTGGGAGAGCACAGAATAGCTCTTCAAAGGTCCCTTATAATATTGTTTGGGTGGTGGGGAGAGCCATCGGATTGCAGCCGACTCGTGGCGACCCCATAGAGCAGTGGTGTCAAACATACTGCCCGCGGGCCAGGACTGGCCCGTCCAGGGCCCTTATCTGGCCCGCGAGCAACTGGTCATTACTTTTATTGCCAGATTGCAGAGGCTGTGCATTGTGTCCCTGCATCCTGTCCCAGTGCCAATGCGTAACGGGCGGTGGAAGTGGGAGGGTGGGCATGAGGGAGATACCGTAAGGAAATACTGTAAGAGTGTTAATGTTTTAAGCACGTTTGTATTTTGAGTTAAAAATAATATTGTTAACTGGGTTTGCCTTGTGTCGTTTATAAAGTTTACATCTCCGGTACCTGGCATTACGTTTTATGGCACACGCAGCCGGAGAGACAAAGTGACATTTATGTCAGATCCGGCCCTCGTAACAATTGTATTTTGACACCTCCGCTAGAGTTTTCAAAGCAAGGAGACCTTCAGAGATTGTTTGCTGTTGCCTGCCACTGTGTTATGATCCCGGGCTCCCCTGGTGGTCTCCCATCCAAATACTAGCCAGGGCCAACCCTGCTTAGCTTCCGGAAACTCATATCTGAAATCAGGGTTTCCCTCCCTATTTTCTTCATTTTTAAGTTTCTGCCTTTCTAAATATAATCGTTCAGCTTCCAGTTGTAATTCTCTCTAAGTTCGGCTTCAACTTTCCACCTTTCCATCTCTCTCTCTTTAAGGGCTGCTGTTTGTTCTAACTCTTTATTCTTAAGTGCTGTTGTTTGTTCTAATTTTTTATTCTTAAACTCCATCTCTTTATCCTTATATTCTGCATCAACTTTTAACTTTTCTTTCAGAAACTCTTAAGTATTCTGGATTGGGGTTAAACACTCTTTCAGGGTCTCTCTCACTAGTAGTTTTGCTATATTCCACAGCATTTTGAATCAAGATAGCTCTCATCTCTTCTACACTTTTCCCTTTGTGAGGTAAATTTAAGTCTTTACACTTTTGGATAAGAGCCTCTTTCTTTAATCCTAGAAACTCTGCCATTTTATATGGTATTCCTTTTTCCTCAGAATTTTATTATTCTCTTTAATATGCTCTCTTCCTCAGGATGTTTGTATCCCACTGCTAGTCAGGACAGTCACGTCTCTCTTTCCACACAAATGCTGTCACCACTTCCCACCACCACGTTTAACCACAATTCGTCTCTCACGCCTTTGTCAATACTGGCTGTAGTGAATGCTAGCCAGAGTGTATCAACTCCGCATCCCAATGGGAGGGAGGGATAATATTGAGGTGGAAAAGACCCCCATTTTCCCACCCCCTTGTGGTTAGCTGCAGTATCTGGGCCACATGCCTTGACCACAGAAATGAAACAGCCCCCTGGGTAAAACCACAGTGTGGGTCCTGAGGACTTCCTCTGTCATGACTGGCACCTTCGATTTGAGCTCCCCTCAGTTCCTCCTTCCCTCACGGAAATAAAACCATTTCTCCACAGGAGCTGGAATACCAGAAGACTCAGCCGTCCCACCCGGGAGACAAATTCATTACCGTCGTCAGCCAGTTCATCACCTTGGCCAGCTTCGGCTTCTCGGATGTGGAGGATCTCCTGGCAGAGGCCAAAGAGCTGGTAAGAGACTGAAGTTGCCGGAAAGCTTCCCACTCGTTTCCGTCCGTATCTAAGCTGTGCCTGTGACTCTGCTTGTGACAATTGTGCCCATTTTACAACTGGGTAAATGGAGGTGAAGAGAAGGCAGTTTACATGCGCGGGGGCCTGATTCTCCATGAGATACCTCACAAGATCAAAGCCCCTCAGGGTAGTGTTTTTGCCTTTCCAGCATGGCATTTGAAGGTTAAACCAGATAAAATGCTAAGCATTCTGTGAGCGGCGAGGGTTTTTTTCCCCCTCTTCAAATATCAGCCATATTTGGGAGGCTGATTACAGTTGGGACAATCAGGGGAGTGGGAAAAACCTTCCACCCCACACACTCCATTTTCAAGGCCTAAAATTGCTCTAAAAGCCACTATTTGCCCCATTGGGACAACCAGTACAGATAATGTTTGTCGCTGTGTCTTTGCCCTCAGTTTGAGAGCCAGTTTGGTGTAGTGGGTAAGTGCATGGACTCTAACCTGGGCGAACCGGGTTTGATTCCCCACTCCTCCACATGCAGCTGCTGGTGTGACCTTGGGCCAGTCACAGTTCTTTCAGAGCTGTTCTCTCAAGAGCAGTTCTCTCAGAGCTCTCTCAGCCCCGCCTACCTCACAGGATGTCTGTTGTGAGGAGGGGGAGGGAAAGGAAAGGTGATTGTAAGCTGCTCTGAGTCTCCCGAGTGAAGGGCGGGGTGTAAATCCAATTTCTTTTTCTTCTTCTCAAATCGGTCAAGCAGCTACTCCTTGGAGCTGTTTCTGGCCAAGAAAATGGCAACGGGGGAAGCTTAACCCCCCCCCCCCCATTCATGCTACGGGGGAAGCTTAACTCCCCCCCCCCCCAAGTTTGGTGTTGTGGTTAAGTGAGCGGACTCTAATCTGGGAGAACTGGATTTGATTCCCCACCTCCTCCACTTGCCCCTGGCTGGATAACCTTGGGCAAGCCATACTTCTGATAAGAGCTGTTCTTGAAAAAAACAGCAGTTTCTGTCAGAGCTCTCTCAGACATGACGGCTGAGGGGGTGACATGATCGAGGTTTATAAGATTATGCATGGGATAGAGCAGGTCGAGAAAGAAATCCTTTTCTCCACAATACAAGAAATTGTGGGCTCTCAATGAAATTGCTGAGCAGTCGGGTTATAACAGATAAAAGAAAGTCCTTCTTCACCCAAAGAGTGATGAACACATGGAATTCACTGCCACAGGAGGTGGCGGCGGCTACAAGCATGGACGGCTTCAAGAGGGAATTAGATAAGCATACGGAGCAGAGGTCCATCAGTGGCTATTCGCCACAAGTTGTAGATAGGAACTCTTGGTCTGGGGCAAGTGATGCTCTGTCTTCTTGGTGCTTGGGGGGGGGGCAACAGTGGGAGGGCTCCTAGTGTCCTGGCCCCTCTGCTGGACCTCCTGATGGCACCTGGTATTTTTGGCCACTGTGTGATACAGAGTGTTGGACGGGATGGGCCATTGGCCTGATCCAACATTGGCGTCTCTTATGTTCTTATGTGCCACTGGACTCTGACTTTGTTCTGTTGCTTCAGACCAACATGGCTTCCCACCTGGAACTCTTTGGTTTAGTCGCTTCCTTCCAGCTGTGGAGTCTTGTGAGAAAAAATCCTACTGTGTGAGCTACTGGCATTAAAGCTGTGAGCGAGCGATTTGGCTCCTGCATAAATTAGTTTCCTCTGGAGCCCTCCTTCCTGAGCTAAGACAAAAATGTGTGAGCCAGGGGCTAAAAAACTGTGCGCTAGCTCACACTGACTCAGCTTAGAGGGAACACAGCTCCCCACCTTGATATATTGTCATGGGACTCTCCGATAGTCGTCTGCTTGGGCTCTAAATCTGGTTCTATCTAGTGTCAAAAGCGGTCCACGAGAGTGAGATAACCAGATCACATTAGGAAATTAGCTGGCAGTTTTTGGGGGGTTGGGTGTTTTCTTTTCACAGGCACCTGGGGTCATTTCCCAGGTATCCTCTTTGATTGTAGCCGGAATCCGGCTTGCAGTTTTCCTCCCCGATGCACGCAGCTGTATTTTTAACAACTTCCTGCTTACATAGATGCAGTTTCTTCCCTTCAGAAAAGGGGGAGGGGGGATAGGAAGAATTTCTTTTTTAAAGGCTTCACTGCCACATTTGGTTCCAATACAGACACATGTGGCAGCAATAAATAACAGACAAGGAGCATATCTTCAAAGAGAGGCGGAAAGCGCAAATTCCCCCCTCTCCCTGCCGTGGGTGAGTTTTTGTGCCTTCCCTGCTACAATATGGGGGTTTCCATTAGTTTTTATGGCTCCTGAGTTAATAAAGGGGCGGGGAAAGGGCACGAAATAATAAAGGCCGTTAAAGTGGAAACGGAAGTGCGACTTCCACAATGACTTTTCAAATGCCGGTTGGGGTATGGGAAGGCCTCAGCCTGCACAGTCTGTGTTGTTTATAGTATAGTTAGAAACAGTGTTCCCTCTAAGCTGAGTTCGTGTGAGCTAGCTCAAAGTTTTTTAGCCTCCGGCTCACAGATTTTTTTGTCTTAGCTCAGGAAGGGATGGCTCCAAAGCAAACTATTTTATGCAGGAGCCAAATCGCTGGCTCCCAACTTTAATGCCGGTCACTCACCAAGTAGAATTTTTGCTCACAAGACTCCACAGCTTACAGGGAGCATCGATTAGAAAGCAGGCATCTATGTATCTAATGAGCAATGTGTGGCCCCCATCTGCAGATATCTAGATCCACAGATTGGGGCCACAGTTGTAGGCACAGTGAAGAATTCACTGCTCTCCTGTTCTCCTGGCTGGAGATTGGGAACCCAAATGTATATACGTACTGAGAGCATGACGCAGCCATTTGGCCTTGGCAGAGTTGCGAGAGAGAGATAGCAGACAGCTGCCTGTACACACACACACACACACACATTCCTTAGTTCATGTCTCATGACAGGATGCTGTAATGTATGAAAGGGAGGGGGAAAGGAGGAGACGGATTTTCAATAAATATAGCTGGTGAGTGAAAGCATGGATTCATTCAAGGATTCATTCAGTCATTCAGTCATTCAGTCAGCTTTCTGCAGAAGCTGTTTGTGTCGTGTCTTCTTCGAACCCCAGCAAACTACACACAGTGACACTAAACAGACTTTTCTGCAAAATTTGGGGGACTCCCTAAGGCAGGGGTGTCAAACATAAACCCCGGGGGCCAGAACTGGCCCTTCTAGGCTCTTATGCGGCCCGTGAGCGACTAATACAAGGGAGGGAACAGGAGACTGCTCCGGGGGGGGGGGGGGGTTGTGGCTTCAGCATAGCAGAACAACCTCGTCTGCAGCAGTCAAGTATTGTGGGACCGTCTGCCTAGTGCTCCGCTGCTGGCTCTCCAGTCAGCCTATACAGGTTTTCCTTTTCACCCCCCCTCCCAGCCCATGGGGCCTTGCAGTGAGGATACACCAACCCAGAGCTTACCAGCTGCTGCCTTTTATACAGTTTATATCTCCAGTACCTGGCATTACGTTTCATGGCACACACGGCCCGGCCCGGCCCGACAAAGTGACATTTGTGTCAGATCTGGCCCCCATAACAAATGAGTTTGACACCACTGCCCATACAGTTTGGTGTAGTGGTTAAGTGTGTGGACTCTAATCTGGGAGAACCGGGTTTGATTCCCCACTCCTCCACATGCAGCTGCTGGTGTAACCTTGGGCAAGCCGTAGTTCTGTCAGAGCTGTTCTTGAAAAAAGAGCAGTTTCTGTCAAAGAGCTCTCTCAGCCCTGCCTACCTCACAGGGTGTTTGTTGTAAGGAGGGGAAGGGGAAGGAGTTTGTAAGCCGCTCTCAGACGCCTCTAGGTAGTGAATGGTGGGGTATAAATCCAATCTCTTCTCTTCTCTTTTCTCTTCTCGTCTTATTTTTCATCTAATGTAAGCAAAACAATCTGATTTCTTTTTTTAAAATGGTGGGATTAAATTCCCCCCTCCCCAAATAACAGGGTTTTGTCTTCGCATGTGGCTACCTTACTGCCACAGAGCTCGGGGGGGGGGGGGATGCTGGCAATTGTAAGCCACTTTGAGACCCCTTAGGGTGGAGAAAAGCAAGATATAAAAATCAGCTCTTCTTCTTCTCCTTGCCATCTCCCAGCCATTCCCTCTCTCCACCCAATACATACCCGTTAACTCCTTCTCCCCTGTATTCAGACATGCTATTTCCTCCCCCTTCTCAGCTATCCTTGACATTCTTCCTCTAAAACTACAAGCCCAGTTTCCCTTCTACACTTTGCCCCCCAAAAAACAAAAAAAGATAGCCAATCCTTGCTTTCTTCCACAAGACTGGAAAAGGACGTGTGATTCAGAAGAACCTAGAAGACACAGGGTGTCGTTTGGTGTAGTGGTTAAGAGCACGGACTCTAATCTGGGAGAACTGGGTTTGGATTCCCCACTCCTCCACATGCAGCTGCTGGAGTGACCTTGGGTCAGTCACAGGTTCTCTCAGAACTCTCTCAGCCCCACCTACCTCACAGGGTGTGGCAGAAGAACGCTGTCCCCAGATTGTGTTTCCCAGCACCAATTTGAGACACACACGCACAGTCCTGTGAAGGAGAAAAAACTAAGAGGTTTGTAATAGTGAGAGCCCAGATACAACAGGGTTGGGACCCTCAGAACCCAACGAGCTTCTCCAACATTACAGTGGGTGACATAGAATTTTATCGTTCACATTACATCAGAGGAATAAAACAGTTATTGGTTCCATCAAACTTTGTCAAACTTCGTCACCTATTTCTTATTTGGTTCAGACCTGTGGGCCGGGGTCTTCCGAGGCAAAGTTTTTTTCTAGCTGAACACTAAACTCTTCTTTGGCCTAGGCTATGGAGTGTCAAAAGTATCTCTATTAGCTGATATGGTTATAAGATGCCCGTTGTCTTCCTTTTAGCCAGGCTAATCGGCACATGCACAGAAGTAGCCAGTCAGCCAAGGCCGCAAACCTCAGCAAAACAGCATTTCATTTAATTC